AATTTTCAGAGACGTGTGACTAAAGCTTTATGCAGTTATTGCTTCTGAAATTTTTATTTCCGTTTAGTAAATTTCAGAAACGGTAACTGCATAAAGCTTTAGTCACACGTATCTGAAAATTCCGACAAAAATTTCTAACAGTGCAGTAATAACTCTTTTCCTAGTTACATTACAAGAATGAACACCAAAAAATTTTATATTTAAATAAATTCTACATCTAAAAATATAGGTTTTTTAAATGTAAATATTATAATTTAACTGTTACAAGACTTTAAATTTTAAATGTTACTTTTGTCCTCGGTCTTCCCTACGGATGATATGCGTATAGAGGCGTTTATAATTATTTAGCGAAAATGATATTTCGAAAAATAACTTTATCACACATAATTGAATTCGTTTTAAAATTGGTAAAAATTTAATTTTAATAAAAAAAATTCAATTTTTGCTGGTAGGGGTAAACAAAAAAATTATCAATAAATAATTATTTTAAATTTTAATTATGAACTGCTCTTAAAGCCATTCAATTTTGGCTCAAACATTTTTTTCCATCTTTCGTAGTTTCGATGATATTCGCATTTGAAATAAAAAAAACCGATTTTTTTTCCAAGGATTGTTTCACCTTCTAGAAAGTGCGTAAGAGAACAAATATGCGGTAGCTTAATTCTTAGTTTTGTCTAGAGAATAACATATTAAATGCTCATCAAAATCGGAGGGGGACACTTGGGTCTCTTTCCTTGTAAGTAAAGTTCGAAACGTCTCAAGATCAAGAATTTTAAGAATGTAACTAATTCATTGAATAAATGATATTTTAAATTGCGACCTAAAAACTTGCTCGTTTAATTGACCTGATTCTTATTCTAATTATTTGCTAAAAAATACAAGCTGCTCTTTTTTTATTATTATTAAAATAATATAATTTGACACATGGAAGATGAAAATGACGGAATGTTATTTAACACATAAGGAAATTACAATTGCTACTTTTATATTTAATATGTGTATATGTGACGAGTACTTTCCTTCAATAATATTGCGTAATAGCAAGGACAGCGATTCTGCGTCAAATATTTACATATAGCTCTAATATATTTATATAAAATCATACATAAATCTTCAATAGTAAAGTATATACTTAACAGTCATAAAATAAATTACATTTTATAAGCAGTCTCGCACGTGATTGCTTATTCATTGATATGCATATTCATTTATTAAACATTCGTTACATTTATTAAACATTCATTATTAAACATTTATTAAACTCTTATTTAAGCGATTCCTTCCACGTTCTACCGACGAACTTGTACCAATAAGACATATATAATGACGAACGCTCCGAGGAGGTGCAAAGTACGTCTGAGTATTGCGATCAACGTATTGAAAAGCTCGTGGATAACACATTATCTTTTCTGTAGAAAAAATAGTTAGTCTCATCGTACCGAAGAAAATAGTTCAATCTGAAATTTTATAATTGCTGCTTCATCTGACAGGTAATAAGTAAAATGCGAAAAAAACATAAATATGAAGTGTGAAGGAAAATTTTAGCAAAAATAATAGTTTCTTGCAGAATAAAGAACAAGAGTTCGTTTTTATTGTATTTGTTTTTCTCTCATTATAATTTATCTATATCAAATTCGGATATGTTTGTCTGCAATTCTGAATATCAATATAAAGTGAAATATAAAATTTGAGTAAAAGATTCTTATGAATTATTGAGAGAATTTCGAATCAGTGATTGTCTGTAATTTTTTATTTCTTCATTATTTGTAATAATTTTTCATTTATAATTATATATAATATATATATATATATTATATAATATATTTTTAATTATTGTCTATTTTAATATTCAAAATAGACAAAGGTTTTTACGTGAATCAAAAAATTTATGTTATTTCAAAATGTAATATGCGTGTCGGATGACATTACATGCAGAAAAAATTCTTTAGAGCAATAATTTAGAATAATAAATTCATTACACAAATGTAATGAAAGAAATTAAATTTTAATAAAGTAGTAATTTGCTATCTTGCTATATCTCGTTATCTTGTACATTTTTGTTATACACTAATTTATAAAATAATTATTTATGTTGCTGAAAACTGAGTATATTAGCATTTTTTCAATGCCTGTTGCATAAATAAAAAACAAAGTAAATATCTGTAAATATTTACAGAAATATAGAGAAACGCGGTGATTTATTCACACAATCGCGATTTGTTTTTAAGTGTACAGACAAACGTTATTTAAATAGCAGTTTCGCTATTGTAATCACATATGTTGCATAAAAAAACTAATTGCATAAATATGAGTATGTCGAAGTATTCATGGATAATAAATTGTGTAAATTCTTACCAAGAATAGACATAGTGGAAACACAAAATCAATTTTTTCAAGGAAAATAAAAGATAGATTTAGTTGATATATTGTCAATTCGCGAGATTCTCGATCAACTTAATCAACATACACAATTTTTCCTTTCTAAAATGTAAAATCGATCTATTGAAGCTTGAAGTCTCTTTTCCGCGATTTCTGATTGGTTCTGTCATTAAGCTTACTTCGCGAGCAGCTGTCATTGCATATTTTAACAATTATGTATATTGAGGTTGACAGAGTGTATAGCAAGTATAGTAAAATGTGAAAATTGTTAAATAGCGCGCGTGAAGCACGCGTCTGTAATGCTATAGTCTTTTTAAAAAATCGAAGAAGAAGAGATATGACTTCCAGTTGTATAAACATTTATTTATAGGCAAAATAAACGAGTTAAATGGAAAATATCAGATTTATACCCGGAGAAAATTTTATTTTAAAATTTACCTTAAAAACCATGTTAATCATAAGACAATGTAGTATTTCGACGAATTATATGTAATTTTTATTATTTTTTTAAATATATACTATAACAAATTTATTGTAATGTACAGAAAAATTTATTGTAATGCACAGTAAAATTTGCCGAAATACTATATTATCCCACAATTAATATAATTTTCAGGATAAATTAAAAAAAAAATTCTCTCCGTGTATGATAATTTGCATTTAGCAGGAAGATTTGGCGAGAAATATGAAAATTTTGGGCGTGAAATTTGTACCGTTAAATGAAACTTTGGAAGAAAGACTACAAACGTTGGCTGCCGCATTCTGGACATTTACTTTCGCTTTCGGTGATTTTTGTGGACTCTTACTCACGGCGTATCTTCTACTTTACACAAAAACAATACGTTATTTGTTGCTACTGTATTTTCTCTGGATGTATTATGATTGGGACACTTGCAATCGTGGCGGTAGAAGGTAACGATTCTATTAATCTTTATTAAGATAGCCGACATTGTATAAGATAAATAAAATCCTTGACAATCGCTTAAGGTAATGCTAGTGTAATAGTTGAACTTCAAAATATTGCTGTTTTACAGATGACTTGTGCATATATGTTTGCGACATTGATGTAGTAGTGCATTGATGCTTACGTCTGATGTATTGAAATATACTACTACACCGAGGTCGCACGCATACATGCAATGATATTTTCCATCTGTTCTCTTGTACAAAAACACCTAGATTCATCAATAATTCATAATATTACTTTTTTATGTAATAAATACTCGATAAATACTTGTAGTATATATACGTACAAAATTTAAAACTTTTATGCACAGTACATGTTGTCATAAGTCGTCTGCAGAACACAATAATTTTCTAATTTTTTTTTCCGTTTTTTGTATCCAAATGTAGTCACTCCGTTATTGTCAATATTTTAATTCTGGAAAAGAATTTATAATTCCGTGAAATTAATAAAAAGATCGGATGATCCGAAAATAACCATGTTCAATCAATAAAAAAAGACCTGTGTTTAGCATTGCCAGTATTACAATAAAAGAGTAAAAAATCCGTGATAATAGTCATTAAATTATATGTACAAGAATAATTTTGGTCGCAATAAAAATTTGTTAAGAGATGATAATCATTATTGTTTAAGAATTCATTAATATTTAAAGAATAACTATTATACTCTACATTTCAGTGAATTGTGGACAAGATTAACAAAAAACAACATATCATTGCGCCTTTTTTGCAATTATTTTCCAATCAAATTAGTGAAAACGGTTGATCTAGATCCCAAAAAGTCTTACCTCTTCATTTGTGTGCCTCATGGAATTTTACCAATGGGAGCAATGGGATTGATATCAGATGTATTGGATTGTAAGAAGCTATTTCCTGGTCTAGACATGCGTGGAATCACTATGGATCAACACTTTAAAATACCAATATTCAGAGAATATTTTTATTCATTGGGTAAAAACTCTTAATTCTTTTCGCCAATCATGAAGTTACATTTATTTGCAATAATATTACAATAATAATAACACATAATATACGTTGTATATTTCTTATATGAAAAGAAGATTGCTTTATAAGTTTATATATTGTATAAGCTTTTTTCGTTAAGTAAGAACCGTAAATAAAATATATTATTGTAACTAAAATTTACACGTTGATGTACCGAAAGAGATATTTTACATATAAATGAAGCGACAATTTAATATTTATCATATTATGTACTTTGCGAGATAAGACTATAACAATGATGATCTTCAAACACATACAGGTTTATGTGCTTCTAATGTGGAAAGTCTCAGGTATTTACTATCAACATCACCGAAAAGTCCATATACCGGAAGAGCTACGATTCTCGCTGTCGGTGGTGCTGCCGAAGCGTTGGAATCTATACCGGGCACTTATCGTGTACTTGTGAAAAAAAGAAAAGGTTTCGTAAAATTAGCATTACAGCATGGGTAAGCGGTTATATATTTTTTTTTATTTGCACATATAATTTTTAGTATGCAGCATAAACTGCAGTTTTACGATGTGTTTAACATTTAGCAAATTACAGCTCGTGAAAAAATAATTTGGCAATACGTTCACATAACAGTTTTTTATAAGTGTAAATTAAACGCCGTGAAAAAGAGTAATAAACACAATGATCGCGATTCAAATTTAATACAATTCTGTGATTTAGCACATCATTGGTTCCTGTTGTCGCGTTTGGTCAAACGGATTTGTACGATCAAATATATGGTCCAGAAGGATCGACTTTTCGACGCATACAGAACTATATTCGAAGGTTTATTGGATTGGCACCCGTCATTTTTAATGGCAGAGGATTATTTCAGTATTCATTCGGCATTATTCCGAAGCGAAAACCTATTACCACAGTTGGTAAGAAATTCTCTTTTTGTACTCGTAAATTGTTATATATTTATCAATATTTAATATAATTACATATTTCTCTTCATTTTATGTTCTCTTCATTTTAGTTGGCAGTCCTATCGAACTACCAAAAATAGAGAAACCCACGTCCGAGGAAATTAACAAATATCTTGAAAAATTCATAAAACATTTGATTGAACTTTTTGAAACGCAAAAGTACAATTATATTAAAAATGCAGAGAAAGTTACTCTCGATCTCTTATAAAATGTATATTCGATATGTATGGTATATTCTATAAGGAACATTTATTTCTATTTTAAAATTCTTGTTCTAAAGATTGCTGTTTAGAAATATAGAGATAGCTTAAAAAGATAGCTTTAAAAGATCTTGAAAAAAATATAATTATATATTTTAATTACGTATATTATTATGCAATCCATTTAATCTCTTTTACTTATAAAGCCTAAATATGCAAATGAGAAACACAAAGTCAAAATTTATAAGCAAGTACGCATAAGAGAATATATGAAATTTAATCTCGCAATATATTCACTGCGTTTTACTGTTTTATAACATACCAAGCATTTATCATTTTTATATTCTTACTATATTGAAATTAATGACATTCTTGTCACTAAAATAATATTTTTTTGAAAATATATATTTATATTTATTAGATATTTATTAGATATTTTTTGAAAATATAATCACATTTTGGCATTTTTAAATATTTAAAAATTAATTTATTGTACAACCTCAAAAATTTAAGTATAGAAAAGAGTATTAGATGAAAGGGATAAATATAAAGTCTAATTAAAAAGGTTATTTAAATTTAAATATCTTAATTAAATTTAATATTTAATTAGAATATTAGTTTAGATGATTTAGTTGTTAGAAAAGGATTTAATAGGTATTCTTTTATATTTAAATTGGTAAAGTAATTTTATATAATCTGAATTAGTTAAATCCGCAAACTGTAAACACGCTAGCTATTATTATAAAAAATAATTATTATATTTTATAAATTAATTGATTTTTTAAAGTGTCGCTACTATATGTATAAAATAAATTACATTACTATTACATTATAACTGAAATTTAAATGATTAAATACGAAAAAAAAGGATCTTAAAAATTAATTACTAATTTTATATTGTACTTATCATTTAATAATTTATTAATAACATTTGATAAGTATGATTGTATTGATGTAATATTTTTAAAAATTATAATGTTAATAAAATAGGACATTTTAAATCAAATTCAAACATAAACTAAACATTTCAAATATGGGAACATGTTTTAAATATGACAGTTATTTATATCCGTACATCGTAAAATTGAAAATTTTATTTAAGAAAACATTTGTCAAAAAAATAATAACTTCAAAACTATTGTATTGTGCAAGAAATATTTTTCAACAAAATACAATAACACTAATTTACATAAATTTATATAACAATTAAATATTGGTTTAATATGGCACATTTTCCGAAGGACCGTGATTCAATTGTTAAATAATTAAAAACTCTGCGAGATTCGCGCTGATTGTAAGATAGCGAATTGTGAGATTCGAACGAGCCCAAACGTCAGAACTCGGAACTTGAACGTTGGAACTTCGTTCACGGACGACCGCACACGCGGTGAATGT